TCTTCAGGTTCTTCACATACACCTTAAGAATGTGTTCTCAAAAAAGTTTGGTTGGCACGCGGAAGAATTTTGTGTCAGAGATTTTGCCGGTTTTGGCACGCACGCACAAAAATGTTGCCCACCCCTGATCTAGGATAATAAACATCCCATAAAAATTGAAAAAAACTATTTAATATAACAAAAAATCATATCAATAACGGATTTTTAAAAGGATAGCACATAGCAAATACAGGTATAACTCTTGTTAACGGAACAACCAGCCAACACTTAAATGTATAAACTTTTATTACCGTTTAAGGACAAGCCTATAGATGGCACTATATATATTTAAGTATCAACGTAATTACTACAATTTGTCAGCCCCTTGAGGATGACTGTTTGTGGTTATTGAAAACGTCGGGTTGTCATTATTCTATTAGCTAGTGTGATTTTAAATTTATATTCAGTCTAAAGCGTAACTTCCAAGAGCTTATTGTCTGAAACTGCAGGTAAAAGCCTGTATGGAATTAGAACCCCTCTCAAAGGATAGTGAAAATAAGGAAATGTTATACTTGTATGGAACATGGCCATTAAAGCTGTTATTAAACCAAGGAGCCAATACTCTAAAGATGAGTCTTCAAGCCCAATCAGGTCAAAGGTACAAGAAAGGGTTTAACCAGACAACGGGTAAAAGGAATTAGTTGGACATATGTGGTGAAGTCCAGCTGAGAATATCCTATCTGTTCCAAATAATATAAGGAGTTAATTATTAAAAGAAACCAATCCACTGGTTTACTTATGGGAAGCCTTGCAGCATGTTGACCAATAATGGTTCTACATCTACAGTAGTCCGACTCGACTTGGTAATGAAAGATGGAAAATTACTTTTAGTGATAAATAAAGAAGATGAATTTATGCGAACAGCAAATTGACATACAGTTACAAATAAGAGGAAAGTTAATGTAGCAACTTCTTTATACTTAACGACGTGTGGGCAACTGACATCGAGGAACATTGCATATTTTCAAAGGTCTATTACTAGGAAATCCTTGTGCCCTATATGACAGTTAATACACCAAAGATTAAACTTCCAGTCACATCAAGGAGGGTTGTCATTAGAACATCAAGAAGAGAAATACTCATACCACAAGTTATTAGGAATATATTTACATGTAGTGACTTGGGCATAGTAAATCCAAACACTCCAGCATGTATTGATGGATTGATGGTTGGATACAGTCTGGTGGATCTGAAGAATACAGCTATAATCATTCAGGCATGAACAAAATGAACCATAGAATTTATGTCTGTATTGGACATTACAAGAAGTACTGTTGTACAGAAAGTACTTCCACATTAAAGAACATCAGAAATAGCCACCTTCCAGGCAAGATGTAGAAAGTCTGATTTCACATCCTTACATAATGGCAGCTGACCATCTCACTTACAAAAGCTTAATAACCAGAACTGTGGATGTGTTATAGCTGATGAACTCCATATAATACATGACTTGCTCATGGAATACCAAGATACTTTCTCCTGTAAACCTCATGATGCAGGCTTAATAAATAAAATAGTTCACAAGATTGATACCGGAGATGCAGCCTCAATACATCAGTTTGTCAGCGGCATCCCACTTGCAAAACGGGCTGAGGCTTCCAAAGAAATAGAAGTCACGAAGGAACAAGAACCAATAGAACAAAGTACCAGTTCATGGGCATCATATACTGTACTTGTGACAAATAATGATGGATCCATAAGGTTCTACGTGGACTAGTGGGAGGTGAATGATGTCACAAAGAAGGATCCCTACCACTGCCAAGAATTGAATCTAACTTGGATGCTTTATCTGCATCAAATTGTTTTCCAACTTTGACTCTTCAGTGTGGATATTGACAATGGAAGTAGATGAATTAAGTAGAAAGAAAACAGCTTTTACTACAGGAAATGGACTGTGACAATTTAGTGTCTTACCATTTGGATTAGGTAATGTCCCCGATACATTTCAATGCCTAATGAACTGTGCTCTCTCCTAATCACCCAGGAATCTTGTACTCATCTATGTGGATAACAGAACTGCACATGGGAAGATCTTTGATGATGCTTATGATGGGCTAACGAAAGTTCTGGATTAGTTGTGGAAAGATAACCTCAAGATAAACCCCAAGAAGTGTGAATTATTCTGTCAATAGGTGAGTTTCCTGGGACACATTGTCAGCAAAGGAGGAGGAGTGTCTACAGATCCATCTAAGATTATATCTGTTCAGAATTGACCAATAACGAGGAATTTGCGTAATTTAAGGTAATTTGTGGACTGTGCTCTTACTATTGGTGTCGTTTTGTAAAATCATTTTCTAACATAGCTCGTTCTCTACAAATTACTTAAAAAAGTCAAATAAATTTTTGTCTGCTGATTGTGAGCAAGCATTAATAAACTAAAAATATTAACCACCATTCCTGTGTTAGTATACCTAACTCTTGAAGATCCACTCAATTTAGATACAGATGCCCGTGAGTTTGCAGTGAGAGCAGTATTATCACTAGTTCAACGTGGAAAAGAAAATGTGATTACCTATTATAGTAGGTAGTGAATGCTACAGAAAGGAAGTATTAGCACTAGAAAATGGCTGTTTAGTGTTATTTAAATCCTAAGTAATATTTATTATTACCTATATGGACAAAAGTTTACACTCCACGGAGATCGTGCAGCATTGAATTGGTTTATACATTTTATGAATACAGAAGTTCAGATAGCAAGGTAACTCACATAACTGCTGGAGTATAACCTTAATACTGTGTACTGCCCTGGATGGAACTATGGTGACACATTATCCCAACGACCATGTCTTAAGTCTTAATGAAGAATGTAAACATCGTGAAAAGAGGGAAGCGTGAGACAGTAAAAAAAGACCAACTTAAGTAAAACTGGAGTGTAGTCCAACAAAGCGACATACGCAAGTGATAATGAAGTACTAATGTGGTCCAATACTCAGCTAAAAGATGCTCAGGCAGAAGAGACGAGTTTGAAACCAGTTATTCAGTGAATCAAGAATAGTGCAGAAAAGCCCTGATGGCAAACAATCGTTCCATACAGCCTGTAGACGATGTACTGGACACAATGGGAATCATTATGCCTACAAGAAGACTTGCTATGTCAGAAATGGGAAAATACCAGAGGTCAGAAACAATTATTAAATTTGATACTTCTACAGTCTATATTCCACAGCATTCAATAATCTCCACAACGTTGCAAGAGCTGGATAATGAGATGTTACGAAGCCACTGGAGAGTGTAAGAGAGTACTTCTATTGGATTGAGTATAGTGGATCTAGAGAGTATTGGTGGAAATCCTGTGAACTATGCTGTCAGCAGAAAGGTCTATGAAAGAAACAGCATGGGCAGTTACAGAAGTATTTTGTTGGAGTACCATTTGAAAGTGTTGCTGTTGATGTATGGTTTTCTACCATAGAGTAACAGTGGAAATATATGCATCATGGTTGTGATGGACTATTTCACCAAGTGGCCAGAAGTATCTGTTGTTTCTAGCCAGAAAGCAGAAACTCTAACAACGAAACTCATCAACGAATTTGTTCTAAGATTTAGGATGTCTGTGGAACTTCACTCAGATCAGGGATGAAACTTAGGATGACCATTGTTAGTGGAAATAAAAAAGATCGGGACACAGCCATTCATCCATCTTCTGATGACATTGAAGAGGTACAATCATACACTTTTAAACCAATTAACCATTTATGTGAACGAACATAAGAAAACGTGGGATATAGATTTTTCACTTCTACTTACGAGTTATTAAACATCAGTACATTAAGCTACAGACAACACACCATTATCATTTATGTTCGGGAGAGAACTAAAAGTGCCATTAGACCTTCTATACTCACAACCAGAGAACAGTCTCTCAGCAGAGTCTTATACAGAATATGCAAAGAGACTAGGGAACCCTAGGGAAAGACTTAAGCAAGTTAGTGTTAAAATCGAAAGTTACTATGATGGTAATGCTGATAAGATTTGATTCCATGATATGGTTACACAATCCCCATCACAAGAAAGGACGAACTCCAAAGTTAAGCAGGTGTTGGAAAAGGCGATATGTTGTAATTAAAAGAATCAAAGATGGAAGCCAGAAAAGTAGGCAGTCCAAGCCAAAGGGCATCCATCATGATGTTTTTGAAAGTACATCGGTGAGACAACGACCAACTTGGCAACACCAAAGAAGAACTTGTGAGTGGAAAGTTAACCTGCTGAGGATCCAAGGGTTCCTGTTGAAATCACTTCCAGAGAATCATCAAGGATAGAATCACGAGGATATTCACTCTGCCATCAACCTAGGACAGGATAGTCAGTGATGGTAAGGGACAAGAGATCATCCCAATTGCATACTATGGGCCTAGAAAAAGAAAACCTAATAAAAAAAAGACTTGGTGAATGGACAGTTTAATGTACTGTTTTATTTGTGTATTAGGTTGTTCAAAGGAATTCACAATCCAGAAATGGGCAGGGTTGTTATAATCTAGTTCTTTGCTAGAGGGAGTTGGTAATCATGAAATTGACATTAGATCTAGAAAGTTTATAAAAATAGTCCTAAAATACCGAAAACGGCAATGATGATGTATTAATCTAGAAATTCGTGGATTTTAGAGAAACGAGAGTACATTATAAATACAGTGTGTGAAGATTCATTTACAATTCATTGGAGTGATTTAGTTTAGTGTTTGTGGTGAAAGTTATCGTGTCTAATAAGTTGATCGATTAGTATATAAATTCTATAAGTAATTTTATTTGTAAGTGTAAGTTAGACATACCATTAGTCTCAGAATTTCTATTCAAACATTGTTTGTGAACTTAGGCCCACGACTTATGTCAAAGTGAACGTAGCCTGTAGAAAACGTTATAGAAGAAATACATTAATTTGTTATCGTTACAATTATTTCAAGTATCTGAACAACAGATAAAGTGTATAAACGTTTTGTTTTTTTCGTGTGTATTATGTTTTCTCTTACTTGTGGTACAGTTGATTTCATCACTTCCGTCCCAACAATCTATATAACCATTACACTTGCGGGAGATTGGCAGACAGGAGGTGTCGTTTCCACAGTGGAACTCGTCTTCTTTGCAAGCTGTGTTTAAAAAAACAACAACATTTATAACGTATCTATGGTTACGATGTTTCACCATCAGGTACAACAACCTAATGGTGCCAAGTTAACCTGGTGAAACGATCTAACCATAAATGTTATACTTCTATATGTGACAATAAATAAAAAAAAAACAGTATCGGTCTGATATAAGCTTTATTTGTTTCTAGCGTTGTATGTCCGCAGACATACCGCTGTGCCACTGGGGGGACCTGATAGATGCATCACTATGATATGATTTAAATTATCATGATGTTCCATATACTTGCGACTAAGTTCTGACCAAAAGCTTACCACAGTCAGCTTCATCACTCATGTCATAACAGTTGAAGTGACCATCACATCTCCGTTTAGCTGGAATACACAACCCGTCTCCGCAGCGCCACTCTCCAGAGTGGCATTCTAAGAAAACAAAACACACCTCGTTCATAAAGCTCATAGTTTTTTATATATAAAAAAAGCATTATTGGTGTATCTTCATGTTTTCAAATAAGAATATTTCGATCTAATTTACTTTTATTCTCGACGTGTTGGTAACCCTAACATTTAATAAATGCACATCACAAATAACTCCAAAGAACTGACAACGTACCAGAAATATCCACACATTGGTATAAGTGGTCATTCAACTGACGACAGAGCTCTTGAGGACCAGCGCACCACCCACCACACCCTCTGGGGTCCTGGAGATCCACTGGGGTCACGCACTGAGGGGTCAGAGCTCCGACGGAGAATAAACAGATTGCATCGTGTTGACAAAGACCGCAAGGTCCAGCTGTGAGTATAAATGTAAAAATATAATAATAATTCGAACCCCTCAGGTTATTTTTATAATATTAAGATTCATAATAATTACATAAACGTGAGTTTATAAAAACTTGCATGCTTGGAGAGTTGTTAATAGTCAGTTGTAACTAATGTTTGTCCCTTAATAATAATAACTTTATTTCTTTAACCAAATATATCGTGCAATTTCTAGAATTTTTAAAATAGTTCTTATGGTTTTATATATTAGTTACGTAAGTTATCACTTTCCTCGTGTTCAGGACAGTTTAAGGGATAAATAATGAATTATTAACAGGATATTTTTCGTCTAAAACTTCTGTGATGTTGGTTACGTTTATACAGTTGTTGCTGTGTTACTCTTTCCCGAGCGAAACCAAAACCAAAATATACAATAACAGTTTCATCCCATTTGTATTTGTTGTCCTAGATAGAAATGATGCATGAAACAATCCGAGTTTCTTTGGTCTCAGCCAGACATAGGAAGTGGTTTTACACCCATTAGAAACTCACGTAATAAAAATATTTATAAAAATAAACACATTATGGATATATAATGATACAAAACATTATCACATAAAATACAACGATTATCCTCGCACTGTTATTAATTATTTCCGATATTCTCTATCTATTAATAAATCATATTGATAATGCATAAAATGTATTTCAATTTTGTTCTTTATATCCTTTACATATGCTTATTATAGAGACGGTTTCGTGGGTAATCATTTTATAACTCCTTATTACAGAGAAGGTTCGGTAAGTAATCATTTTATAACTCCATATTACAGAGAAGGTTTCGTGGGTAATCATTTTATAACTCCTTATTACAGAGGATGTTTCGTGGGTAATCATTTTATAACTCCATATTACAGAGGTTTCGTGGGTGATCATTTTATAACTCCTTATTACAGAGAAGGTTTCGTAAGTAATCATTTTATAACTCCTTATTACAGAGAAGGTTTCGTAAGTAATCATTTTATAACTCCATATTACAGAGAAGGTTTCGTAAGTAATCATTTTATAACTCCTTATTACAGAGAAGGTTTCGTAAGTGATCATTTTATAACTCATTATAGAGAAGGTTTCGTGGGTGATCATTTTATAACTCCATATTATAGAGAAGGTTTCGTGGGTAATCATTTTATAACTCCTTATTATAGAGAAGGTAATCTGATATCTTTCTCACTTTATTTTTCTGAGAGATAAACTCCCAGACATTAGAGAGAGTATCCTAATTAACCAGCTTATTTTATTGTTTAAACGACAAAACTCACATGTAATGTTTCTTCTCCTGGACGTGAGTCAAGCAGAAAAGATCAATTCATACTTACCAGAAGGATCTGTTGTTGCGTCACTAATAATTTCGCTTTGTACTGTCCATGATTCAGCCTCGTCTGTCGTCACATTTGTAGAATCAGACACACTTTCCGACGAGGCTAAAGATGGTCTTGTTGAGGGCGAGAAAGAGCTGGACGGTGGAGTTGGAAAACACACGCAATCTAATATCTCAATCTCGTAGCTGCCTTGTCGCTTGCACGGATCGTTGCTATGCAACCGCATTCCTCGACCGAACTCGGTCCTACAGTCTCGAGACCGGCTGTGGATTCGATTGGAGTCACACTTTCCCCCCAAGTCCTTACACGAAGACCACTGACCCCAAGGTGACCAAGCAGCTGAAATTCCAAGAAAATCAATAACACAGAATATGTCGTTAAAGAAAAACTCAATTTCAACAGCTTCTCGTGCATAAATTGCACGTGCACACTACTCAACGCGCCCACGAGAATCAGTAGAATAACTAAGAAATACGGATAATAAGAGATGGACTTATAACAATAAATAAGTCCAATACAATAATAACAAGTAATGTCATGTAGCAGGAGAACTTAAAATAACAAATGGTCGATAATTTTAATTTGTGTTCGAAAAAAAAAAACCGTCTAGAAATTTCATGACTATAATCTAAGCTGGAGTTTTTATTGTTAGACTGGAAATTCATACATAGTTTCAAATTATAATCGCTGGCAATATAAATATTTAGTACATAAAATTTAGATGAAACTTTCAACACTTTTTCATTATAAAAATAT